AAATATTCAACTCTATATATATATAATATATATAATTGTAGTTTTTTATTTCAAATGTACCTCAATGCCAGTTGTTTTATTATATAAATAAAGTCAAGATAATTTGTGTAAGAATACATTTTATACTAAAAAAATTATTCATATATGCAAATATAATATATAAATATATTTCTTTATTTATTATATATATTTTTATATATTATTATTTTATTTTTTTAATATTCCAATTTTTATGTCCTTGACATTAATATATCAAGAATATTATGTAAAGCGGACATATGACATCAATAGAACATTCTCATAATATTAAAAAATCTTACATAACATTCTTAGAATATTATAAAAATATTATTTTAATATTAAAAAATATTACATAACATTCTTAGAATATTATAAAAATATTATTTTAATATTTAATAATATTCATATAATATTCTAGGAATATTACGCTCTTATAGGGATACGATGTGTGCAAGTTTCATCGAATTCTTATCAAACTCGTTTTTTACCTCACCATTCCTCCTAAGAGCATCAGAGTGGCATCGAAATCTCGACTCGGGTGATCAATGAACCCAGTCAATTAGTAAAACAATCAGAGTAATCAATTTTTCATCACGATAATTGCGGGTCGTTAATTGTCAGCTTGCGTCAGCGACGTGGCGCCTTATCTTCTCCCAATACCGAGACCGCATTCATTCATTCATTCGGTCTTAATGTCGCGAAATGCCGGTTCAGCGAAAGTTTCGCGCACTTTCCGTACCTTGACATTGTGGTACGCGCGGATAAATCTTTCCGAAATAGAACCGGGTGAACGCTCGTCGGACGGCTGTCTCAGCCGTTCACCGTGAGGTGAACGATGAACCGTCCTCAGGACGCGGTTCGGAGAAGCGCCGATAAGGTGAATCAAATGACACGCGTGTGTCACAATAATACGGCCGCTTATTAACGATACCAATTGTCCGCATTAGGTTTCTCATTAAGTTGCGACGTTAATGCAGACGTGCTGCGCGTCGATGCGACGGTGGATGCACACGCGGCACTTGCGGAAATTAACGGCTGCGTCCTTACTCTCTCTCTCTCTCTCTCTCTCTCTCGCTTGCAGCGAAATCGGAGAAGCTGCCGATAGCTTACCGTTCGACGGTAATCGCACCACCTCATCCCGCAATGACACCGCGACATGTCCGCCAGTTCGCCGCGGTTCGACTGATCCATCTTCGGTAATTCGGTACGTTTATTAACACACGCATTATTAACGGGATACAAAGTGCTCCTCTATAGTTCCCTTACAATTTCCTTAGCTTACTGGCATTATGAGACGTATGTACAAATCAAGAGTATTGAATTTCGGCGTTCGACGCTGAAAACACCGCTTACGAGGGGTGAAAAGTTCTCGTCGGGGTTCTCGCGGTGGCGCTCGATATGTCATTCGCGGGGTAACTTAAAATTTGATTTGAAAGACTGTAAATTGTACTGTGGGTGTGCTCCGAAATGTACCGTAAATACCGGATGTCTATAGCAACATATCTGTATTACATGAACTGTAGTGTCGTTTCGGTACTGCGAGCGCATTTCGGAACGTAGCATAAATATAATGTACGATGAGCAATACAGTGACGAAGCTTTCGCGACGCGATAAGCTCGAGCACACGCATACGAGAGAATGCGCAACTGGACCCTTACGTCGTGTTTCGGAATAATCCCGGGCAGAACAAGTGTCCAAGGGATGTCTCAAAGGCATCTGAAAGACTATTGCCGGTACTATTTTGCTTTTTAGATATCTTTCAGACGTTTTTGAGAGATCTTTGGAAAATTCGCTCTACCTGGAATGTTCGTGTAGTACACGTTTGTTTTTTTTTCTCACCCTTTACCTATTTTCCACCCTACCTTCGCCGCCTACTTCCCAACGCGGCTGCCATTCCCGGACTCGAATTGCGGGACACGCCGAATTCGAGACTTGAATCGGCGCGAACGAGTTGTTCTTTTCTCTATCACTAAGTGCAGATGCGGGAGAAGTACATTTTCTCGTAAAAAAAAACCTACGAATCTCTCTCTCCTCTCTCCCTCCCACCCACNTCTCCCTTCTCTGCATTAATACTGCACGATTGCCCGTAGAATCCCTATGTAATTTACTTGAAATCCACGTCGGAATTTCCGAGACGTCATACACACATAGAATTTGATATACACATATATATATATAATTGCTAATAGCGTAAGAACGCTCTGTCGCGAGTGAACCGTGAACAGGGAGTACGCTTCGCGTTTTTTTCCTACATCACGGACGAGCTGAGAAACGCGCTATCGGAAGATCGATAAAAAGGTATGTGCATCGGATATGTAATTTGATTTCGGTAGCTCCGCTATCACACGATTCTGAAGGAGAGCGACGGTGCCGCCCGGGCCGATTATCCAAGAATAGGAGCGCGTGTCGCGGCGCATCCTCAGTCGCCCTCGGTTTCCGCGAGCTTTTCCGTTGTTGCGGGCCTTTCCGTTGCCGCGGGCTTTTCCGTTTCGGCAGGCTTTTCCGAGCCGGGGACGCCCTTGCGCGACCTGATGCTCGATCTCTGTATCATGCTGCTCCTCAGAGTCTCGCCGCGCGTCGACGCCCTCATCGAGTTCCGCAGGCTGCTGCGCTCGAAGGACCGGAAGATCGCCACAGGCGGTGCCTCCTCGTCCGCGGACCTTCTGAGGAAGATGCGAGTGCGATTAGGAATCTCGGTGCTTGTTCAAATGAAACTACGTCGTCTCGAAGGAGAAGAATACCGTGTCAATGATTCAACGTAAAGGTTCATTTGACGAAGAAATAAGGGGAAAATTGAGGAAGAAAAATCAATCAAATCAATAGAAACGTCTTTGATGTTTACTTCGAGAGGCACGGCATGTCCCATATCTTCTGATCCTTGCCGAAGTCCTCGCCGTCCTGCAAGGTCTGCGGCAGGTCCTTGTCGAGCGTCTCCGGCAGGAATAGCGTCAGGAGGCCGCCCAGGATGCCCATGGTGCCGAGGACCAACAGTGGCAGAATCGACGAGACGACGTCCAGGTAAACGACGAAGGGCGCGAGAATGCTGGCGACGTAGCCCATTATGTGGATCAAGGCGACCCCCTGAGCCCTCACCACCGTCGGCAACACCTCGGCAGCGTACTGAAGACCGATGTTGTACGAAATGTTCACCCAGAATCTACCAATTATCGCTAGGGTGGCCGAGTAGATATCTGAAACGGTCGATCGAAGGAAGTAGAAGCCGTAGAACTGCCTAATTCTAGTCGTACTCCGAAAAAGTAAAGAAGCAAATTAAAAGATCGCGACTTTTAATTGTCCGCGGACGTTGATCTCGCGCAATCGTGTGCGTACACTTGAACACCGGAAACTGGGAAATCGTCCTCTCGTGATGACAGTTTGAAGATAGTGAGAAGAGGTGGTCTGGTGGCACACTCACTGTTCGAGACCGCGCTGGCCCAGATGCTGAAGATTCCGGAAATCACCATGGTGCCGCAGGCCAACCATCTCCTGCCCCATCGGTCCAAAACGAGAGTGAGGAAGGTGTCGGCGGGTAACTCGGTGGCTGCTGCGATGGTGAACGTCATGAAGACATCGAGCCCAAGATTGTTCACGTTTCTCACGTGACCATCGAATACCAGCGATATCGCCATCCTGCAACGTGAGACCCGGTCAGTCATACGCAAAGGACTATCTTACCGTGCGCTTTGTAATTATCAAATACTCCCATTTCTCTGTATAATTTCCTGCACACGCTCGTCTCGAGATTTTAACGAGTTTCTGGAGCAATTATCAGCAAGTATGATAACTTCGCAATCTTATGTTGAGAGAAAAAGTATCGAAGAAATAAGAAATATTTATTCGATGGATACTGATACCATATTTAACATTATTTATAAAAAAAATATATATATACTAATATCAATATTTATAATAATATACATACGGAGAAAACATTTGTTCTGCTTGAACAACAAATTGTTTGTTAATATAATGATAGCAAAAAAAATTTGTTTAGACGGCAGAAAAATTTATCAAGAATATTAATTGCTGTTTACTGGATATGTGGACAGCAAAACACTTTGGTTGTGCCAACTAAATTTTATTGCTGTCGCAACGACAAATTGTTTCGCTGCAGCAAAATTATTTTTTCCGTATAAAAATTGTTTTTGCTGTCACCATATTAACAAACAATTTGCTGTTCCAGTAGAACTTGTTTTCTCCATGCATATGTTTACGCTGAGAAAAAAAGATTTTTCAAATGGGTAAATATATATTTTCTTAAATTTTTAGCTTTTCGTTCAAGCAATTGTTTATTCTACTTAAATAATGGAATTCAAAGAAAGAGAGAGAGAGAGAGAGAGAGAGAGAGAGAGAAAATAAATATGTTATTAGTATCCATCGAATGAATATATTTTTTAGATATTTTTCTCTTAATGTAAAAATCACTTGAAATGGGGAACGTCTTTATCGGCGTAACGATACCCACCAGATAAAAATGAGGAGGATCGTGATGTTCCTCAATCGCGGACTCTTGAACAGGTCTAGCACGGAGTAAGTTTTGTCCGCCTCCTGCTCCTTGCAGACCCTGGCGCACGTCTCCTGTTTTCGCACGAACGAAGAAAGAGTCCGTCGTTTGAATCATGAATTTTCACACGATCAGCGGCATTCGAAGTGTTGATCGACTTCGAACGGGATACGGAGGAGAAAACGACTCTTACGCGGAAATTCTGGTACACGTTCTCGGGTACCTTCGTGCGGTTGATGCGCTCGAATTTACCAAGAATCCTGATGGCCTTCTCCACTTGGCCCTGGCTGACGAGCCACCTCGCGCTCTCCGGCACTAACCAGGGTGCCGCCACCGCGAGAACCAGAGGCACGGAGACGGTGATGCACGTCATCCTCCAGTCGGCCAAGAAATACGCGATCCACGGCAGGATGCAGGCGGCAAACGTGAAGAAGAGGGCGATCGACATGTTCGCCACGAAGGTACGCCATTTCGGTCCCACGTATTCCAGTACTGAAAGATGAACGTCGGGAACACAGGTAGAACGAAGACGCACAATCTCAAGCAGGTCGGCTTCCCGACGCGAGTGTCGCGCCTCGATAGTTCCGACGGGCTCGAATTATTCGCGCCGAGGTCGCGACATCCTTCGAGCTTTCGCGACCTCGCATTCGCCCGCGACCAAATCCGCGACGAGCTCGCCGGGATCTCTCTTTCTCTCTCTCCCTCCCTCCCTCTCGTAATTTAAGCAATGCCCGACTGTTAGCGCGGAATGCACTGAGAAAAAGATTTCTTCGAATTTAATCAATTTTATTGCATCCAAGCGAATTTTATCATTGTTCCGGAGAAACTAATGTTTCGATTAATTAAGATTTTTCGACTCTTCAACGGATATGTAACTTTATCTTAAATAAAAAAATTTCTTCGAAACGGAAGATAATTTTCTCATAAAGAAATTATTCGTTTCATTTTACATGCGTTTATTGTAACCGATTAATATTTTATTCGATTGAAAGATATTACTTCAAACAATAGCGTTCTTTCTGTTAAGTAATAGAGCCTCCTTGAATGAGACAGTGAAATTTTTACTCAAACAAATAATATTTCGTATAGGTATGTGTTGTTTCAATGAAACCAAATTTTGGTCGTATAAATGGAAATACTAAATCTAAAGAAACTTTTTCCTCCGAGCGTGTTTAATAACCGGGCGTAAGCTCTTCCCAATTATGAGACGATTGCTGGTAGCAATCGACCCGTATCCGGACGTTCGACGATGCTTCTTCCTGTTTGTTGCACGACGAGACAAGAAGCGGGCTCGCTGCCACAACGGATTACGTCCGTATCGCAATTAGATCGGCGAGCGGTCATTTTTCCACTCCGCACGCCATCATCCACCTGTGAAGCGTAAAATTACCCGATCTTTGCATATTCAACAGCGGTCGCAAGGCTACGGGCCGGTGGAAACCGATTCATGCGTCTCGAGATCACAAAGTAACGCGCGCGCGCGCGCTTCGTAAGTTACAAAAAAAATATATACCGTTCGCACGTGGGCCGCACCGCCGGAACGTTCATCTTTCTTCTGTCTGCGATCGGAGTCGTGGGAGAGAAAGAAATGAATATCCGAGAATAAGGAGAGAACAGGCTTTTCGATCGCTCCGTCGAAGGAGCGCGAGACACTTACGTAAAACCGCCGATGTTAATTGCCGTCTCGCGGCCGGAAAGAGTTATCGGAGATAATATCGCGCGCGGACGGCCCCCTCCCCCCTCCCGCGGGTCACTTGTCGGCGAAATGTCAGCGAATGTGGCCAGTCAAACGGAATAATTCCGCGTGATCTGTTAATTCAATTTAATAGCGGCACGTGCGTCTCGACATTGGCCACGCTTCCCGCCGGCGGAAAAATCGGCGAAACGGAACTGGCGAGTGAGAGAGAGAGAGAGAGAGAGAGAGAGAGAGAGAAATAGACACGAGTGCAATAACCGTGACTCCCCCCCGGTGAGTCAAAGCCTTCAGGGCGAGCTCGACCTGAAAGCTGAATCCGGAGATCGGACTCGGCCGTGACTCGATACTCGAAAACTGGTCACCGGGGCCACACAATCACTCGGACCAGATCGCCGATCTATCGCCAAGGCTAGCCGTTGACAATTGAATTCTAGCCGTTGTGCAAGAAGGGACCAATTACGATCCGCGAGATTAAATCTCTTCAGCACGATCGTCGCGGAATACGCTCGTCGTCTTCGAGTCCCGCGCGATCTGTGTGACACGTCTGCAGGCCTGCGTGCCTACACGGGGGCAGGGGAGGGGGGGAGGCTTCGTCGTAATAATGCAACAAAATAGCAACACGTATTCATCGAAAATCGCGACAACGGGGTTAAGGTCGATGCGGCGGAGGTACGAAGCTGGCATTGTCTCGTTCGTCTGAAAGCGAAATATGGAAAGCGTGTTCCTCCCCGAGTAGGCCGCGAGTACCGCAGCTTCACGCCGCTAATTAACGCTCGTTCATTAACGAAGGAGCGCGGCCGGAAAAGGAAACTTAAACCGAGACCGGCCGTTTCTGATCTGGAATCCCATCGATCCTGTTTGACGCCGGTGTAGCCAGATAACTGATCGCGCTCTCGAGTTAAGCTCGGTGATTAATGGGCGAAACAGCGCGACGCGCTATTGTGCCCTCGTTGAGCGAACGATTAAGCGAGCCGGGTATCGCGAATGACAGCCCGGGCCTCAATTTGCCTCCCCGGCTCGTTAATTAATACGCACCGCGCGATTAGATCACCCGAGGTGGTCGAATAAGTCGCGGCTGTAGATCGAGCCTTCGCATACTGGGTCAGATTAATAACCGGCCGGTCGTTCTCCTCACGGGGTCATTATCATTTGACGCATTATTCGCGAACGAAATGGGACCCATGACGATGATCGATGGCGCAAACTTGCCGGCACCGTTAAGTCTAGACGCCGCATCGCGCGTGTCTCGCCGCGAGGCGCGCCAATTCCAATCCTGGCTGGTCTCCGCGGTCTTCGGAGCGCACGTGATCAAATAGAAAATAATCGTGGCTGCGCTCACTTGGGTGGGAAAAAAAAAGAGAAAGCTGAAAGCTTTTGCAATTGACGCGCGATGAGAGAGAGAGGGGGGGGGGGAAGGGGAGAAATAATTGTACAGCCGCATCGTTAAATAGAAATTAACACGTCGACCGCCATGGGAACCACCAGTGATCGCGCTATAATATCGCCGCGTCTCAATTAGATAAGCTGTGGAACGTAAAGAATTACTTACACTGAGAAAAATGTCCGATCTTATCTGATCGAGTAATTGATAATTAATAAATGGATATATCCGACCGAGTGCAATGCTCATTCGTCATTTCGTCATTTCATTCGATCAAGTCGTGCTCAAAACTTGATCCAATGAAAATTATATAGGATATATTAAGAACGCTTGAATGATTTTCCGATTAGGTCCCGATCAGATCTTCCGATCGCACTGCCTCCAATGTCCGATGTACGACGAGACTTCATCTTTCAGGATTCTTAAGAAGCAACACGTTTGTCTCCAGAAAACGTATTCTCCTATTGGATATCGGATGTCGGACATCGAAGATGATGTGAATCTTGCAAAAGATATTCATCACTTGGTTAACGATAAAAATAACAATCGGTTATATCATTTAATCGGTTTATCTGATAGAAATTATTCTCAGTGTATAATTGACAAATTCAAATTTAAATTTAAATATATTTAAATATAATAAAAAATAATGTATTAAACGGCTTTATTGGTATTCAATCAAGAATCAATATCTTCTAATGGCCTATAAGAGCCTACATACGGATATTACAATGCGATATAGAACATTTAAATTTGAATTTTTCCGCGAAATAATCGGGAAGATTATAAAAGATACTGATTCTCGATTGAAATATATGAATTAATTTGCGTGTGAAACTCGATTGAAATATATTAATTAATTTACGTATGAAACATGCGAATAATTACATTTACCTCCCACATATGTAACTGATTTACGTGTAAAACGTATGCAACGGGAAGTAAATAAGACGAGCTAGGGAATATACGCATCGCGAATTGCATTTATCTTTGGCGATTCATACGTTCAGAGGTGAACGTTGAAGTAATCACTGGCAATTAGCAATGGAAGCCGACGGTATCGATCAAGCATCTAAATCGGATCGATTAAGTCAACTAAGATTATTCCTGGTAACGAGCACATCGCATACACACGTACCTAATATGTACATCATAGTGAAGCAGTTATCGAAGGCGAAGCCGACGAAGAATCGGCATAACGCGAATTCCCAGAAACTGCTGGCCAACACGGTTGCGACACCAGCAAGGAACCCGGTGACATTGGCACCGACCAGCGCCGGTATCCTGCCGTACCTGTCGGCGATCCATCCGAAAATCAGGCCACCGAAGATTGCGCCGACGAAGAAGACGCTCTGGGCCGTGGTAGGTAGCGCGCTGTTCTCGCACACCCATCCCAGCTGTAAACGGAGAGCTAAGATCGAATGATTTATCCCTCAAATCGACGTGTGCGATTTTGTCCATCCGGTAGACGAAAGGGCGCCCACCCTCGGGAGGAATGGCGCGCGATTGTGAATCTATTGTCGCGGATCTTATTGATTGTCGAGTAAATTAATGCGACTGCCGTTCACCTGGGAACCGGTTCACCTCTAAACAGACCACCCAACTAACCGTTTTTCTGTTTTTATGTAATAATGTAAAATAGAGTTAATTTGTTTGCACGTGAGACGGAGAGTGATAAATGATCTCTGTCGCGCATTCTTCGGACGGTCTCTCGTGGAAGCCGGTACGTTCGTGACGCACGACGCATAACGAGTGTTAGTGAACGCGTTAACTGTTATGGGGGCAAATTAACAAAACTGCTACCGTTTCTCTGGTAGACCATTCGGCATTTTTTGTTTGATATGAATGTGATCATGTAAAACAGGCTCAGTTAGTTTATTCACGGACGTAGAATGAAAAATTGTTCCCGTCACGCAAACGGACCATCAATCTCTCGTAGGGAGGATCGGTGAATTATCGCTACGGTTTTTAAGTTTCGAAAAAAAAAACTGCTTTTTCCTTATTTTTCCGTGAATTTTCTTGATTTCTTATATCTTTTTTATAGAAAAAAGCAAATGCGGTGGGTTTTAACCAAACATATTTGAATTTTTGAAACGGATTTTTTTGCAGTTTTGGAGCAGAAATTGAAGAAGATCCGTGGAAGAGTGGGGAAAAATGTTTTTTTTTTCAAAATTTTGAAACTACACGATACAAAATTTTGTGTAAATAACGGTCCATTGAAATTTTGGTATTGTCACTTTAATGTGGTGATATGTTAAAAAGTACACTGAGAAGAATTTCCATCGGATTAAACCGATTAAACTTAGTAAGCAAGAAACGTTAAATCAATCTTTTAAAACGTTGATTTTATGCGGATTTTATAGACATTTCGACATAATATTTTATAAATATTCTTAAACTGACCGTGAATAATTGATAATATAATATTCCTAAATATTAAAATCATAGAAATATTATTTTTAATGTTTGAGTCAAATATCATTAACAGTGACGTTGTACAACATTGAGAACTACATATTTGAAAACACAAACAATTACATTACAGTTACAAAATATCATTGTAATAACGTTGTGTCAACGATTTCTTGCTTACCGGGAATGTATCCGATTCTTATTTTTATTGTCCGATCCAAGAGATGGATACCTTTATCCGATGAAGTTACTGATGCAATTACCGATGAAACCTAATCGGAAAGTTAATCATCGTTTGTACTCATCCGTTGTAATTTTTATCGGACAAAGGCACGACTTGATCGGATGAAATGACAAAATGATCGGACATTGCGCCCAATCGGACATATCCGTTTGTTACTTCTCAATCCGGGAGAAAAAAGATCATATATGAAATTTGCCCATATATGATTATATATAATCATACATGTCCACAACGAAAAAATACTATTGTTTACAGATTATATGCAAATACAATCGAAATAAATGCTTCTGGCCACTTGTGCTTCTGACAGCACGTGATATCGACATTTAATTAAATAGCAAAGCATGGTTTTTTTTGGTATTGACATATATGGTCATATATGAGCAAAATTCACATATAATCATATATAATTATTTTTCCCCGGAAATTTGATTATCCAATCAGAACACGATCGGATATTTATCTCGGTGTACACGAATATACGTTAAATCAACGCACCTCGTTAAAATAACACAAAATTTTTTGTACTGCGCAGTTTTTGCGCGCCCGACGTGTGATAATGGGCTCGCGTTAACCGCTGCGGAGCAAATGGAGCGAAATGAAATTATGGAATAAACCTCGATCTCCGAAGAATCGAGACGCGAAAGTTAGATAGACAGAGAGAAAGAGAGAGAGAAACTACGGGGGCCTCGAGGATCCAACGCGAAGAAAGAGAGAGAGAGAGAAATGATCGAGGTTCCCTCCGAACCAGTTTTCGAGTTGTGACGGCGCCGCGATTCGCGGGCGCGATTATACGCAGGAATCGAGGCTCGAATGTTGCTTAATAATTCGGTGCCGCAATCGCGTCTGAAAGTTGCAAGAAAATGCGTCTTTATGTCGCATGGCATTACGGCAGCTCCCGGACCCGCAATGCGCGCGTTCCTTGCCGTTCGTAGCGCGCCGCGCGGTGAAGAAAACATTTGGCACATTGACAGTGCACGTGTCCTTTCGGCTGTCGCCCGGTACACTTATTAAGCGTATCTCTCGGGGGGGGGGGATTTACCGTCGATTCAAACCGCTCGTTTCCTACGTGTACCACGGCATTCGAGAGTCACCTTGAGATAACTCTTAATAACGCGACTCGAGAACGCGTGCTCGATATATGCGCTAAATCGGACGTTCGATTTGCAACACGGGAGGCTTCCTCGCGGCTACGATATCGCTCTTGTTTAATCCTCGTCGCTTCTCGCCGTCGGGGTATCGCGCGTTAGACGATGATGAGTTCTCTCTCTCTCTCTCTTTTTCTCCGTTCCTTACCTCGGTCGCCACGGTCTCATAAGGGATGTCGGTAAAATTAAACTCCCAGCCGTGCGTGCAACCCCTGGTCGGCCAGCTCGGATCCGCCTGGCGGATCCCGTTTAACAGCAGCTCCGTGTAATTCACGTCGTACATCGTGCATCTGGAGTGGCCGTTCTCATCGTCGGACGTTGGTATCGCCAACGCGATCCTGGCGGACGCAAACAACGTATAAAAATATGAACGTCTATAAGCGAGCGCGATATCTATATAATAAGAAAAAGAGATTCCCGATAAGATAAACATAATGTGCATATTTATATATAAATAAGGAGCGACGTGGGATAAATAAATGTCAAGCATCGACCCGGTAAAATGTCAGGCACGAGGGAGGGGAGTGTGTGTCCCGAGCCGGGGAAATCGAAAACAGCGGATACGCAAACGGGCAATCGAGAGCGCGCTTATCATCGTAAAGGTCTTCAATTATCGCGCGCGCACCTTCGCTTAACAAACTCACGCAATCTGACCTTTACGCAAGACCTGGACGCGAACACGGACACATTCGACACCGATTGCAGTGCACGTACGACATTTTTCATCCTCGATACGCTCGCACGAGCGTGCACGTCTCGCGCGCGGTTTTGACGAGTCGGTAACTGCACACTGGCTATTAGTTACGGCATTGGACCGTGTAAATCCGCGATTTCTGTCTCTTAGACGCGTCTCCGCCTCAGCAGGAAAAATCAACTTTAGCGCACGATTCGCAAGAACATCGCACGGATAAAAAGGTTCCTTTAGATTTAGTGTTTCTATCTATTTCACTGAAATTTGTTTCACAGAAACAACATATACGAGGTATTATTTGTTCGAGTAAAAATTTCATCGTCTCGTTCAAGAAAACTCTATCATCTAACAAAAAGAACGCTGTTGTTTGAAATAATATCTTTTAACCAAATAAAATATTGCTTGATTAGGATAAATATGTAAAATGAAAGAAATAATTTCTTTATGAGAAAATTATCCTTCGTTTCAAACAAATTTTTTTATTTACGATAGAAATATTCGTAGGAAAGCCTAACAATCGTACTTATTAACCAGTTAACTGTGGCGATCTCTTCGCAAAGCGCCCACCAGTATGTGTCGCGATATTTAAGCGAGTTAGCTCTCAGGAAATTATAAATTCAATTCGAATTATTTATAATTTTCATTTGTTTGTTTCATTTTGTCTTGACCTCTAAACATTTTACCCATATTAAAATTTACGAATATAATTTAGTTTTCGCCAGAATTACAATTTAAATATCAAATTGTAACAAAATTTTACGCATGACGGATATAGTCGTCATGACACAAGATTCTGCCACATCTCCATGACGGATATAGTCGTCAAACACACTTAACTGGTTAATCGAAACATTAGTTTCAATTGGAGCATGCCAGTGGTGAAATTTGTTTGGATGGAATAAAATTTATATAAATTTGAAGAAATCTTTTTCTCAGTACGATAACGGTTTTCCAAAGTAATTTTGTGAGATTACTTTGTAAGATAATTCTCCGAAGACGCGTTGATAACAGCTTCCGAATGTTGCTGACTGATAACGCGAATTATTTTCATTTTTCGAAAAGCTCGATACGTGCATTCACGTAGTTTGCATATCTGAAATAGCACCAAATTGTTTTTTTCATCAGCATCCCTGCGGTTTCTTCGTTGCAGAAGCGTTGCGGAAGCGTCTTCTGCGATGAAGAAGAAGTAAATATAAACGTATATGTTTTGACACATACAAGTCATAAACATTCATAATAAATTTCTGTTTTAGTTTACGAGATAAATTTGCAAGCGCGTCGGTAATAATTTTTCAAACTTTGCGACTGACGACGCAAATAGTTTTCGTTCTAAAAAGTACATATTTGCGTACATTTTTACATAGAAATAATAGTCTAAAATCAATAATAGATAATTCTCATATATAAGCAAGAGTATTATAATCTTTTTCAGAAAATGTTTAGTTTTGATTTGATTGCAAGTAATATTTGCATCAATAAAAATTCAAACAAATCAAGACTAAAATTCTTTCAAGAAGATTTATATTCTTGCTTATATATGAGAATATTATTGATTTAAGACTGTTTTTTTCCTTATACATTTGACATAGCACGAAAGTATTTTCTTCATCGTGTCCAGCGGAAATATGGGATTTCTCTTTTGCCGGGAGGAACAAATCATTTAAGCGTACACAGAGAAAAATTTTCTTCGGATTTTATATAGCTATTTGTTTGACTTGGGTTTGTTAGATATAAATAACATAATTTAATATCAAATGTTATTTTGTTTGAATGAAAATATTGTTTCGCCAGAATAAATTATGTTGTTTGATAAAAAGAAACAGTTTTATTATATTCAGAGGAAATAATATATCTGGTTTTTAATTAAAAAATTTATTTCTTTACATATTAAATATCGTCCCATTGAAACAAAAGAGTTCCTTAATATTCCATTAACATAATGTTATTACTTTTTAATAATTTATTGTTTGTGACAACCATTTTAATGTATGTTTGAAAATATAAAAGAAATATATTATTTGACGTAAAGATATTTATAATTTGAAAGATCAAATAATCCTGTTTATTGCATCAAACATTCGTTTGTTTGCTCCATTTCAAGAGACAAATTTGTCCGGATTAAAGAAATTTCATTAAACCCGGACATATCTTTTCCCCTGCGTACATTTTTGCCTCTTGGAGGTGTGTCGAGAATGATTTTCAGATTTTTAACTCGCGAATTAAATGAATAAAACGAGAGAAATTTTGAGATGGCGTCGTAATGATAATTTTCAAATTTCGCGACTGACGACGCGGGTAATTCCCGCGAGGAATTCTCGACATGTGCACTGAAAAAAATTTCTTCGAATTTAATAAATTTTATCGCATCCGAAACAAATCTCATCATTGACATACTCCGAAGAAACTAACACTTCGATTAATAAATACGATTGTTCGACTTTTCAACGAACCTCTCGTTTTCAACGAACGTATCTTTATCTAAAAAAATTTGAGACGAAAAATAATTTTCTTACAAAGAAATTATTTGTCTCACTTTACATTTACATTATATCACTTTACATTTTACATTATATTTATTGTAACCAAATAATATTTTATATTTGGCTAAAAGATATCATTTCAAGTAATAGTGTTCTTTCCGTTAAATAATCGAGTTTTCTTGAATCAGACAATGAAACTTTTACTCAAACAAATAATATTTCGTACAAGTACATACGTTGTTTCTGTGAAAAACACATTTTGGTCGAATGAACGGAAATACTAAATCTGAAGAAATCTTTACCTCCGTGTGCATTCACGCGCATTTACATATCAGAAACAGCGCGAAATCCTTCTCTTCATTGATGCACCGTGTCCGACGGCGCGATAACATCTTTTAAATAGCTCCTATGCGTAATATCGCGCCGCTGTTGTAAGCGGTATGTAATTATACGGTGTAGCACCACAGAGAGAGCGAAATACCCATCGCAGTCACATCCTATATAAGGTATCCGTTTCTTGTCGCTTACGTGCAATCAGCGTGGCATTAGCGCGCCGTTATGTCGAAAGGTTTACACGAGTATTTTTCACGTTCACGCTCTCATTGCTCATACGAAGGTTTCGAGCAAATTTATTATTCATTATCCACAAATACCGGCCTCAGGGCGGCCTGAGCGCGACAACGCGCCGACAGAATAAATATTCGTCCGATTAATCTCTCGTGTCTCCGTTTAATAATGTCGGGCAGGTTATTATTCGCGTAATGCAATTCCGCCCACGAATATATCGAGATATATCGAGGAATGCCGCTCGCGAATATATCGGGAACGCCCGACGTGTAAAATGCGAGACGAGACGAGTAGCCGCGCGCAGCGTCGAGTTTGCGCGCGACGTAATTCGAATAGAAGAGAATATCTTAAACGCGATATTGAAGCGCTAAGCTAATTATAATCGTCTTGTCAGTTTCCTCCATCGGTGTTATGCCGATTATTAAGCGTTTCTTCTTCTTTTTTTTTAACGATATTCTTATGTACTTCGTCAGCGATGATCAAGCGAAGCGACGAGCTGCATCAGCGTCTGCTTTGTTTCCCATTTGGAAACTTCGATGTTATAAGCAAACGTCGTTGTTAGGCGATCCGTAAACGCATTGTTTATGCGTTCCTTGCCACAAAAGAGCCGGTGTCGACCGGTCATTTATCTCCCACCGCGCTGACGTCAGAGACTATTAACCTGCGCGGGATTACTAATCTCGCGAGCCTCGGCCGAACCGAAGCGCAATCGAATTGTAGCCGCGCGAAGGCTACTCGCGTCTCGTTTCCATACTTTCTCGCCGGCTGCCGAGAGACACACACACATGCTAATAATCTCTCGCGACTTTCTAGATTCCATCCGTTTCTTTCGAGCGCGCGCGAAAAATCGCGCGATGATCCCCCGCGATGATGACGACGAGAAAAATATCGGCGAAGATGGGCTGAGAATAGCTTCTCGTAACAAGTCGTCCATGTTGGTATTTCATTTTTTCATATCGAAATACACGCGTTCAAAGCGCGTAATCAAAGTGCAACACAATGGATCGTTAGAAGCGCTTCTGTGAGTTGCGAGGCGCGTTTCAGAAGTAAGGGCCGGCCGGACGTAAAAAGAAGAAAAACGAAGCGGAGGGGAGAACTTTTATTATCGGTACAACACGTGTTTACGTTCGTTTTTCCACTACGTAGTCGTTATTGTTTTTTAAGCTTCGCTTTCGTGTCCGGGGGTCGAGTTTCTTCGTGTCTTCTGCAGTGAAAAATTCGCCGTCCGAGAGTTCAGCCAATGTGAATGCGAACATCGTGCAAATTCATGGTAATTACAGCACGTGTCGGTTTTTCCTGCGTTGCGCGGATGCGATGTTACCATACGTTCTCACTCACCGCCTAATACCGTTAAGGAGAGCTGTTTTTTTCTTTCTTTTTCCTTTTCTTTAATTTTTCTTCTTCTTCTTCTTCCTCGAGAGCAATAAGTGTTTATCGCAACTAAGGAATGATACCTCATATGTGCGAAATCGGTAGGAACAAGAAATGTGTTTCGGAAATTCACATTCGGCACTACTGTACTCTCAGCTCTTCATTCTTCTCGTCGAGCCGTTGAAAACCGAGCCGCTCCTTCAGCCGAAGGAAGATGTGGAAATCACTCGGTGCAAGGTCGGGGCTGTAAGGAGGTTACTTGAAAAGTTCCCATCGGGACTGTTGGATCTTCCGGGCAGCGCAGGCAGCAATAAAGTGCTTAGGAAACACGGCGATTATGTAGAAACATAAAGTAAATACAAGGAAAAATAAGGTGATATAGAAATGTTGTGTTGATGATAAAAATTTTTTCTCCCTTTCTTGGCTTTTCTTAATGTCCCGCCGGACCCTTACTTTTGAAACGCGCTATAAGCGTTATTACTCGCATTACTTGGCCGCGACTGGATTTACATATCTAAGATAATGCGCTAAAGGAGAATCGCGTGAATGAGAACATCATACAAATCCATTGTAATAATAACACGCGTCGGTGGTTTTTTTTCTTTTTACGCCGAGCATATACAAACGCATACGTTCTCACTCACGTTTAATACCGTTAAGGAAGTGTTTTTTTCTATTTCCCTTTTTTCATTGTTCTCTTTCTTCTTCTTCTTCTTCTTTGAGAATAATAAGTGTTTATCGTACTAAGAAACGATACTTCGTATGTGCAAAATCGGGAGATTCCGGAAAAGAACGAAAAAAGTGTTTCGGAAATTCACTTTGCCCTGAGCGAGGGAAATATCAGTCCGTGATTTCAGACAAGATTCAGACAGGACGTATTTCAGACGAAAGTAAAACTTCGCGAGAAGTTATCGAGTCCGCTGAGCTAAGAGAATATAGCGAGGAAACTTCCGCACATACGAGGCGCCGGCATGAATAAATAATTTATATTAGCAACTTTAAAAGCGATCGCGCGCTTACGTCGTCACGTTTGACGACAGCGATCGCAAATTGCGCTAATCGGACTCCGTCTGAGAAAATATAACAGACCGGCGTGAATCACCCGCTTCTGGGTATTCCGGTTAATTGGAATGTTAAGGATTTATTCGCTAGAGCTGTCAGCCGCGGCTTTTGCCGCGGCTTAAAGCGGAATACCGGCGGTCGCAAGCGGAATGAGCGTGACCGCCGCGGGAAAAGGTGTTTAATGGCGCGATCGACGGTCATCGACGACGAGACAACAGCGATCCTTGAGTTATCGTTTCATCGTCCTTCGAGTTTCCCTCGCCTCTTCCTCTCTCTCTCTCTCTCTCAAGACAGAGGAAGAACGAGACGGAAGAGAAAAGTATTAATGAGAATGTAATCGCGCGAGGGGGAAGGACGTGGCGTCGTCGTTCGCAACTTTGCATCCTGCCGGCTTGTCCGCCTGTCCTCGCGTCGCGCTTTTCGCGCGACAGATCTTTTTCTCGTTGAGCCAACGTTGAACAACGGACTGTTTCATTGCGAGCATTACGTGCCACCTACATGTATTCGCTTGGTTTCGCGTTCGCGCACCAACACCCAGTTTATTCCCCGTCGAAGTTACAGAGTTATCGCTATCGGAGTTTGCCGGCCGGCCGACGTTTGTTCTGCGCTTAGACGAGTGGTTGCGCCGCTTGATTTATCTTATCTCGGGATTTTGTTTGCTCGAATTATTCGATTATTATTACGATCGCGCTCCGTGATGCACACCAACGGGCTGGTTACCCGGGGAACCCGGCTTAGCGATTTGACACGGAAATTCGCGCCAGAGCAGCAATGAGGAAAAGGAGAGCGGCGATAACACGTAAAGCTGGGTCCACAATGGGAATTTAAAGTGTAAGACTTAAGAAGTAGACCAATCACCGGCGAATTATAGGAGAAAAGTCAACGATGATCGGTCAGTTTCTGAAATCTTAAGCTTTAAATTCCCATTGTAGGCCCCGCTCAGGGTCGCGCGCGCGGCCGCTACGTCGTGCTCCGGAAGATAATAATACGTCCGTCGAAACGACTTCCGAAAGAGGCAGCCTCGGTTCTCCAAAACTAGGGGAAACGTCTGGGAAACGCGTTCTTTATTCCCTCCCCCCCCCCCCTTTCGTTCCTACCTTTCCGCGGCTGTGAGATTCTCCAGTTCCGGCACGCGGCACCAATGCTCTTCCGGCACGAGGGTGATGAATATCTGCGAGAAGTAGACCCAGGCGACGAAGAAGGCGAACGGGATCATCATGACGAAGAGGATCCTCTGGTAGATGCCGAACTCGCCTACGTGCGGCAGCAGCTCGTCGAAGTCCATGTCCTTGGCTGGCTGCTCGGCCTCCTGGTGAGCGTCGCTCGGCCGGTGGCCGTTGCTGCGTATCTTGACGGACTTCTCGCTGGCGAAGCCCTCGGACGACGAGTCCCGGCAGGAAAGCCCGTCCGAAGGACTGGCGTCCTTCGAGCCGAGCTCCCCGTTCACAGACGTGGAGAACTTCTCCTGCGGCGGCATGTCGCAGCCGGCCGAGGAGGAGGCTCCCCGCAGAGGCAGAGACGGCACCGCTTTCCTCGCTTCGTCGCAACCGCGGCTGCAGCTCGACTCCAGCCTTCGGGCCTGACGACGAGGCGCCGCGCGCGAAATCTCGATTACGCGTCTCGCAGCCTCGCGCGACGACGAATGGGACGTCCGCGCTCCTCCTCGGCGAGAGGACCCCCTACGTGCCGACGAACATGCCGAGGAATCCTGATTGTCTCAGCCGCGAGCGACGGACTCTCGACGGCCTGCTACCACCGGCGGCTCGCTGCTCGTTTCGCCGCGGACAGCACCTCCAAGGTTGATCGACACCGGGTGGGATACGGTCGGCCGGTTAAGCGAGCGGCATATCGCCCGAGCGCGGGGGATATCGCGCGAGAGAGAATCGAGGCTAGCCCGAGGATAATTGATGAAAAAAGGAGAGGAAAAAAAGGAGCGGGCAAATCCTGAGACGAGAGACCACGACTGGAACGGTCCGTCCCGTGGCTGGCTATATAGGCATCGATACCGTGGGGTATATCCCCCCTCTCTCTCTCTCTCTGTCACTCGCTCACTCTCTGTCCCCGCTGAACACAATTCAATGTTCTCCAAGTGGCATTGAACGCACCACGGATCACATCGATCGCCCCCGTCATTGCTGCTCGGCGACACCACCGGTGTTGGCCTCTTCTCCGCGCGCACATCCCATACCGGCGCAGCAGACACCCGGCGGCGGATATTTTGGGATATCGATTGGTTATCCGGCTGACCGCGACGCGCAGTATCCGCTAAAAATTCTCATCCGCTTCGAGTCTCAACTTCGAAACACCGGGAGCTTCCTCTTCTTGCTTCCGTTAGCTGAGGAGGGAGAGAGAGATAGCGAAACAGATCGCGCGGGGCATCGAAGCGTTATCGCCGCTCCAACCGGGAGAGCAGAGCCGATTATTGGTATTACGTAACGATTAATCGATGTGATCGAATCGTTGCTTCAAACGGAACTTGAACTCCTCGCTCTTTAATTATTACGGCTACCCATAAGTAACCCGTCGCTTTTTGATACTCGTGCAAAATTTGGTTTTACCGTTCAGCTGTTTCAAGCACTGGACTTATGATGTTTCTAGCTCTGTCGCTGATTCTTGAATGGTTCGCTTCGGTTCGGCTTCAATTTCAGCAAGATCCTTGTCGAATTCGATAGGTTGTCCCAGATTTTGGCCCGTCGGAAAGATCGATATCACCGTTTCCAGATTTTTCGAACCGACGCTGACACGTTCTGATATCCAAGACGTCAGGATAAACAAAATGAATGGCAAACTTGTGGCACTAGTGGCATCGTTATCTTCTCGAGACTCATAAAGCACCAAATATCTGATACGCACCTTGTCCACACTTTGGCCTTCCGTTCTCAACGGGTACACTCAAATTCTCTCAAAACTTCACAATAAGTACACTAAATGTCAATAGATTTAATTAGTATAGGGGCTGTGTGATAATAAATCACGTCCACGAACAAGGTGGCAGTGTTGATTCAATCTGAGAAAAACGACATTACTTATGGCTACTCTTAATACACTCGCTCGATGCTGACGGCTATTAAGAGAGAACGAATTTGCGAAGCGTCGCAAATTTACGTGGAAATAATGTTTGGCAAAGGCGGGTACCATTTCTCGTAAACGCGCAAACACCGAATAAATCAGCCAGGGTGACGCGACCACGTAAATCCCGTTTGATAATGACAGGATCGGTGAAGACGAAAACGCTAACTGGAAGTGTCTCATGTGCGGAATTTACGTCGACTTTTGAAATGCTCACTTCTGCTTACGTCCGGAAATATGAAGTAACTGATCCGATGAATCAGATGGCTCGCACGACGAAAACACGATTCTCTTTTCGACATTCTTGATCACACTTGTACCGATTGGTCGATCAATCAATGTGCGTCTTTAATCGAGCCGAGGTAGACGTGTAACTCGTATGACATCGTTTTGTTTGCTCGTACAATCTACCAATCGATATCTGCGTCCTGGATAACACGCACTCGAGGAAGCCAGACGCGATTTTATCCAATGTAATTGTCCCGATATCTCTCGAGTGTGATATCAAAATTACGATCATAATTCAGTTGAGCGTTTCGTTATTATACGAGATTACGAGATTCGCCGATAATGAAAAGAATCTCAATAAAATCACGCTGCTCTTTGATAATCAAGTTTCTTCTATCACTTCATAAAGCGAGTTAGTAGCAATATCGCGAGGGATTGATAAGAAAACCGCAAGTTTTCCTGATTGTCTCAGCCGCGAAACCAGACGCTGTACATCGCCCGATTCTTATACAAAGAAAAAGTTTCCTTTAGATTTAGTATTTCTATTTATTTTGACCGAAATTTGTCTCACAGGAACAACATATACAAAATATTACTTGTTTGAGTAAAAATTTTATTGTCTCATTCAAGAAAATTCTATTATTTAACAAAAAGAATGTTATTATTTGAATATCTTTTAACTGAATAAAATATTATTTGATTATAATAAATATGTAAAATGAAGCAAATAATTTCTTTATAAAAAAATTATCTTTCGTTGCAAACAAATTTTTTATTTAAGATAAAGATACATATTCGTTAAAAAGTCTAACAATCCTATTTATTAATCGAAACATTAGTTTTTTCGGAGCACGCCAATGATGAAATTTGTTTTGCAATAAAATATAATAAATCTGAGGAAATTTTTTTTTCACTTTAGAAGCTTAAAATATAACAGTATAATGAGAATTAACTCCGTCATTGCGCATTCGAGGAACTACTATTTCTCTGAGTTCTCTGGTTTTGTTTCTCCCTTCTCAATATAGAATCTATAACAATATATACAATATAACAACAATATGTACAATAACAATAATAATAATAATTATTATTATTTTATTGGGCACAAAAGGAAGGAAGAAGGTAAATAAAAATATAAAGTCAATACAAGAATAAATAATAGGTAAAATAGATCGATTTTGGACCCCGGAGTGACAAATCGATCGCCAGTGAGGTCGTCGTGCAGCATGTCGCGGCAGCCGCCGAGGCTCGCGCGGATCGCTGTGAAATTCTGTATTATTAAATATTAGAACACAATTCTGATACAGTCCCTGGCCATATTATTAGACGCACTTTGATTTCTTAGTAGAATACAGGAAAAAAAGCTACTGATTTTATGTTTATCCGATTAGAATAATTTTCGGAAGTCAAACGACGCTTTTACCTCGGAGTGTTTACATATATATAAAAAAACGAATATTTCGGTTCTAATCATTTGGAAGCTTTTTAACGCAATTGACAATATTTGAAAATTAGAATTATGCGAATCGTACGAATTCGAATCTAATCACTGTTGATTCGAGTTCGTTTTCGAATCTAAAAAGTTCGAATTCGAATAATTCGATAATTTCGATTCATTGACGGTTCGATTTCGAATCAGAGTTATGTCGATTATTTCCTTTATATCGGAAAATGATAAACGAATAGGTAATTGAAATAAAAAACTTTACTAGGTAATTGAAATCAAAAACTCGTTTTTTATTATATATATTCACCAATTTGTAAAACGTGCTTACATATATAAATATTATTACGAATGTATCTATCAGCTTGTAAACTTTGCATATTCCTTATCTGATATCAATCATAAATTTTCCAGCACAGCATTTTCTTCATGGTTAGTGGGAAATTTTTTCAAAACTATGCAGTGATTACAATATTTCCATTTATTTCAACACATTCACTGCTACATGTATCGTTTTCGGTATATGCTGAACTCAATCTCCATGGAGAGATATGTATCTCCATGCTTGGCGGGCACGCCAACTGATATTTTTGTCATTAAAGAGAGATAAAATATAGTTAAATAATTTATCTTACCACTCATTCGTATTCTGTTATCATGTTTGCAGTATTTTTAAATCTGTAAGCCTATTTCAGTATTCACGGCGTAGAAATGAGTTGTCAATTCTTATAGTTCCATTTAAAATCAAATCGGCACTGAAATCGGCGCTAAAACTGGCATTAAAACGACGTTGCATTCCTTACTGTAAGAAAAATATTAGAAACTTGAGCATTGAAAATGCTAAAGCTAAAGCAAAATAGGTGACAACATTTTGTGAAGATTGCTCCAACAAACTATCTATCATATAAACAATATCTATGTATAAATTGTTTCAATAAAATCACAATGAAATACGTCGTACCATTCGATTATAAACGCAAAATGTTCAAAAAAATTATATCTTATTTGTTTCATAATAAACTATAGTTTCTTTAATATGTTCTATTTTAATCTTCTATATTTTGTTTGTTGTTTTCCAATTTTTAGTATTGAAATAAATCTAATCGTTTTATTTTACTGTGTATTTTGTACTTTGACATTTAAATTTCGCCGCAAATAAAGTATGCCAAATGCGTGCCAAAGCGTAAGAAATTTCGATTTCCGTCGACAAGAGAAGCTCTCGCGTTTGATAAGAGAGAATGTTCGTTGCCGCTTCTTCAACAATGGAATGCAAGCGCGCGACGAATGCCCCGGTCACGATTCTAAATCGATACGACAGAATACGACGGATACGATAGAAAGCGTTTCTCGAAATTATCGAGAAAGTTTCAAAATAATCTTATCAGTTTAATGTTCGGCTTCACTTCTGATTCGAAAACTCGACATTTCATTGCATTCGATGAGAATCAAATGATTCATCAGCAAATAAACGTCATTTACGATACTATTGCGAAAGGTTTATACTGTTGACATACAACAAGACGGAAAATCGAACTGAACTTTTCGACCAACCCGATATTTTCTATTCCTGTATATTTTTTATTAGAAGAAAATCTTACTATGACCCCTCATTTACATTCTATATAATAACTTTGTTAATAATCAATACTCTAAATTGAAAACTTCACGATTACATTCGTCAGTGTCCATATATCAAGCAAATATCAATTAATACTCTTAACAAATCTTTCTGCTGTCCAAACAGATTGTTTTTTGTCGACAATATCAATAAACATTTACTGTTCTAACAAAATTTGTTTCCTCTGTGTGCTTGACGGCGGGCTACTAAATAAATGATTCCATAAGTAATCGCTTGAATTCGTCACCTGATAGCGGGAATATATTAGTGGAGGAGGTTGGGGAGGATGGGGGAGGGGGCTACAATACCTACGAGAACTATAATAGAGAGTTTTTGCAATACCGTCTCTCGGATACGGTAAACGCTAAAGTGCATCTTGATATTCAGTACCGCCAGTACTGCGAGTCTACAGTTTGCATTGCATATCTACTGATGATTTGAAGTGCCGGCAGTGAATACCGGGACGCACTTTATATTGCCGAGAAACCTCCCTAATATCACCTCTATTGCTGGCTAAAATTTCGCAGCCAATAATTCGCGTTGATTTCCTCGCGCGCGATATTCCGCCGTCCGCGGAGAAAAAGCAGTAACAAGCGCGTAACACACGCGTCCTCGTTCTTTCCGCCCGTTTCCACGTACGTTAATAGCTAGATCGTACGTAATCACCTGTGCATAAAATAGGCAAATCAAGCGGAATCGTCAGGGGCAACGTTAACGTTGCATGTTTCATAAACGATTCCGATAAATAATCTCATCTCCTCCCTCTCTCTCTTTCTCTTTCGCTCTCTCTTTCGTCATTCTGCGGCGTGTGCGATTAATTCCTACACTGTTACAATGACAATGCGATAAAAATCGTGTCATTATGCTGGTGTAAAACCTATCTCGCGGACGAGGAAGTGTGTGCGCGCAAACACGCGCATGAAAATTGCTCTCCGTCATTTCGTATTGCGATATCACCGTTCGATTCTTCGAGAGTCCAAGCTGAGCGAGCGAATGCGCGTGCACAATGACGCGAATGCGCGCTCTCCCTCCCTCTCTCCCTCCCTCCCTCTCTCTCTCTCTGTTGCTCGAGAAGCGAGTGAAGTCGTGTCATTTTACACTTATTAAGGGATTTCGCAGACAGATATCGCGGGAACTTTCATTCGGATTAAACGCAGACTTAATGGGAACTGCTTTGATTGTACGCCTCACCCCCCCACCCCACTCGCCCGATATCGTTCGCGATCGGCGCGGTATCGGATAATGAGTGAGAAAGGAACTCGAAGAGCGCTTGATCCTTGATTATTAATCCTTGAGATGAGAATTACTTCGCGGATAGTTCCCTTTACTTCTTACACCGAGAAAAGAATTTGGTAATGAGTAAAGCGAAAATTTGGCGAATATTCGCCGACGAAGTATCTTGATTATTGCAACCAGATAGCTTAGTTCCGTATACTGTATACACTGCAGTCCCGTATACTGTACACGCAAAAAATTAAATATCAATTCAAGACTTGTATATTCTAATGGACGCGATCATTGTTTCGTGTACAAGCAAGAATATATTATCTTCTTGCGAAAATGTAATATTCCTGAATGCCAACAATACCGCAATATTATCGCAATGTTATTCACGACGGTCCATTATAGATCACAATATGATTATTCTGAAAATATAACCAATCCTATTGTAACATTAAAAAAAAAATTATATCGAAAAAATGAATGTATTATGTTGAGTAATTCTACATTTATATCGAATGTACGGCAATTTTCTTCCAATAATGTGAACGTTTTCGCTTCAAAATACAAATCAGGTCTTATATTTAAGATCATCTTAAGGTCATTATCAGATACTTTATAGTCAATGAAGCCACTCGTATAGTATCTGAAGATATTCTCAAGATGATGTTAAATATAAAAACTTGGCAATTATGAGAATCGGAGAAAATCCGGAAACCGGAGTTTGCTGGAAGGATTCGAACTCCGAACCTTTTACTAAGCTATCCAGGCATCTGTTTCGATACTCTTTTTCGTCCTCTTATTGCCTCAATTTTGAAATAAGACAAAGAAATTGATATTATAAAAACTTCCAATAATTCAATTTGATATAATAAACTGTTTTCTCCAAAAATAAGATATATTCAAATAAAAATAATGTCATTTTAAGTTAAAGAAATTGTAATTCTTGATTTGAAGATATTGTTCTTTCCTATCCAATATTCTTTACTCTCAATTCAAGAAAATTATTCTTGAATAACGAGAACGTTATATTTCTAGTGGAACTATATATGGAATTTCTTCGTGTAAGCAAGTTTTATCAATCCAATATAATCTTATTTCAACATGTACAATATTGAGAAAACAGATTTTCTCAAAACAAGAATATTCTTTTTTTCCGTGTATATGTTTAGTATATATATAACTAAATTATTTGGTTGCAGTGATCAAATATTAGGTCGGCAAATATTCATAAAATTTTAATACTTATTACCTTAAATAAATCCCTTTTTCAATGTATGATTTTCAATTGAGTGTGTGAAGAACTGATTAAAGTGACTCGAAGAAACAGATGCAACTAATGCTTCTTCGAAATTGATTCTCGCGTTTCTTCGGGGCCTGCGATACGGTAAATGTGGACGAGGAAACTTTTAATCTAAAGTACACTCCGTACACTCGAGAATTTATCCCTCTGGCATTCTTTTACAGGTAAAATTTGAATGGAGAATTAAATGTTAACATATATTGTTCACTTAATGATACATACATAGACGGAAATTTCACACATACAAAGAGCATTATACATTACGTCATATGTTGCCTTATAAATATTAATGAAAAGTAACTTAAAGTAACTTAATAAATTCGTTATGTCTGTCTGTACGTATGTGTATGTATCTTCTTACTTTACGCGTTAAAAATTTTTTTACATATTCGGAAAAAGGCCTAAGTCTGTATACCAATGCTATCTCCCCTAAAAATCTAGATAATACGTATATATATGTCGTTAAATATACATAATTATATAAATAAGAATTGATAACTGGGTTTCCGATATGATATCTGGGAGCACCAAAAGAGCAAATTTGCTTACATCGTTTGGGTAATAAGAAATAATGATATGTATCACATAATATTCCTATTTTATATTAAAAATTGTCGCAAGTAAAACATAAAAACTGATTAAAAGAATAAACCGTGTCAGATCTATTAGTAACTCTGTAATATCATTGCTCGATTATGAAAGAGGTATTTAATTCTTGGAAATTTAAGATGATTTCGTTACTAAATTTTACTGGTTTTTTGTTTTGTTCCGCCAATTTAAACGAATTATGAAGAAATACAAAGAATTTCGAGAGACCCTGTACTGTAAGGGTACACGTAACCATTTTTTTCAATATATTCGCCCTATGTATTTATTTACCTATAATCTGTATTGATTTTCATCCATATTGGTGAAACCTAATCTTCGTTTTCTCCAATATCTTACATTCCATGTAAGCAACGCTAATACCGTTAATACACAAAGAATCGAGGCAGTTACTAAAACAGATATTGTCACACATTTAGAAAAAAAAAATATCTATATAATTATTAAAATATATCCAAATATATGCGATATGTATACTTACTAATTGTGCCAGACAGAAATGATGATACAGTATACGTTGATTGTGTCCTAAGGCACTTTGTTACATGCGATAAAGTACCGTTAACTACGGGACACTTCAAGTCGAGGATCTTACAAAATAAAGGGAACAGATCTGTGTTGTTGAAAGGATCCAATTTACATCCCGGTATAAAAGCCGGTCCACTCGCGAAAAAGAATGGGTGCATTTGTTCGTCTTCGTTGTTGTAGCCGTGCAGTCCAAATTCTGTTTGATTGTTAACTAAACAGGAGCAACGATTTGACGTTAAAAACAACACGACGATAAATATAAGAATAAACATGTGTATACAAACAGTACAAAATTACTTGTAACGTTAAACTTCTTCTTATAATATTCTATGGCATCGTAGAGATTCTGAAAAGCGTATCCCACTTCAGCTATGACAAAGATCGGTCCTACACGAGAATTGTCACCGTAATGATACTTCTTCGGGATGTCTTCTCTTTTGTATACTTTAAATGTTCTCGTTTGTTCCGCGGCAGATTTTAATTTTTGATATATCTGCTCTTCCTTACCTGGAAAACAAAAAAGAACCAACGTTTTAAAAGAAAACACGATAACACAAAGATAATTATAATTCACCGATTTGCATTATAAAGTAGACTTACCAGGATGTGGGAAAATATGCAGCCCTGGTGATGTTCCCACAAAAGTATAATCGCTGGCATTGATGTAATTCGTTAAATTTATTATTCTTTCTATCGTAACGGACGCCATGCCATGATCGCTCAGGTGAATTATATTAAGGTCTGTCAAGCCGTAATGATCTACTTTATCATGCAGATATCTCGTGATATTGTCTAATCTTTGCAGAATTTCATTAAATTCTACGCTATTAATTCCTACGGCGTGGCCATGGTAGTCTGGCTCTTCGATGTACAGTATTCCGAAGTTTATCGGGTTTGTGGGGTGCACAAACCATGACATTAATGTATCAATTCTATCCTCAAACGAAATCGTGTCGTTGAATTGCTGAAGTACATAATCACACGATGAGTTGGTATTATCTAATATGAACGATCTTCGAGTACAATTATAACACCTTCTTGAATTATACCATCTAATAATATCCACCTACCAGTGCAAAGCTGGGCTTTGTACCTTGATACTCATACACTGAACCTGGCCACATCATCGTACCGCTGCGTCTACCCTCGCCACTTTTCTCATTGACGGTCTGAATTATGCAATCGATAAAGTATGAGTTATACATGAGTTATATTTTACAATGTAAGTCAAAGTATACCATCAACGCTCCATCGTTTCACATACCCAGATAGGAAGGATATCATTGTTGTAGTGAAATAACTTGTATGAATATTTTGTGACATCGTGCGTGAGATTGTTGTAAAACTCGTTGTCTACAACCCCATGTGTTTCCGCGTAAAAGCCTGTCGCCATCGTATGATGATTGGGAAATGTCTTGGTAACAAAGATGTTCATCATGTAGTCCGCGTGAGTGCCCTGCGCTTTCAATTGGCTCATGAATGGTGTCATGTTTCTCTTGAAGTAGTCGAATCTGCGAAAGGAACGGAGGGACAAAGATTTCAGATGCAAATGACATTTTCATTTTCCGATATACGTCACACAGGTAAGTGTGTGTGTGTGTACCTGAACGCATCGTAGGAGACAACCAATAATTTCGGATACTGTGCGTTCAATACACCGGCCTCCGCGTTGAGCAAGAAGAGAAGCAACGAAACAAATGGGGCTGTAGAGATCATGGTGATGCCACTCCGATGATTCACGGGAGCGTCATGTGGAGTATTATCGTCCTGACGTCTTCGAAACGTACACGGAACTATCGTTCATAGCTGCGAGGAAAAACTTGTCCGTAACTTTAGGCGATATCGGTTGGACTAAATTTAGAAAAAAATAAATATGCGCACACGTGACCGCACGCGTTCGCTGCTGTAACTCGTTGACAGGACCCGCGTCCTAACAGCGCTCTTGCGTGTCGCGGTAACGACTGTGGATAATGCGAATTAACGGATTAATGGACGGACCGTGTGTGTGTGTTGCATGCTGCTGAAGAATAAAAAGTCCGTCCGAGCATCGTTGTCATCATTTAAAAATAAAAGGTCCCTCCGTGTCCTGCCGTCGAGTTATTTGAAAATAAAAGCTCACCTAACTCGTCATTGAGTCGCGCTACTTAAGGACGCGAGTCCGCCTGATTTACCGCGGACTCGTGTCACTACGCCCCGATTTTCGCTGAAGACCGACTCGTAGCGGAAACTTCGGAACTACGCTTTGAAAAAATAACGAAGTTCGAGCCTCGGCTGATGAGATTTTTATTAGTTCCAAGGTCTCCGCTACGAGTCGCCCCGTCTTCGAATCAGGCGCGTAGTAGTGGTACGACTCAACGACAAGTCGGGCGGACTCGATATTTTTAAACGGTACAACCAATCGGCGGATCGCTTTTTATTTTCGAAAAATATGACCGGATGACAGATGAAGAGGATCCTCGAGCCAACTGGCAAGCCTGGCGAGTTCGGAAGTTCGTCGTAGCGATCACATGTCTACAGACGACAGATGCACCCTGGAGGTGCATCCTACGCGATGACGTAGGACACACTCTGAGGCGCTGGTCTCGGATGTTCCGGCGTCAGAGACGATGTGTCGTCGCGCCCTGTATCACCGGTCAGCACCGGGTGAAGGGTCGCTGTCACTCGTTATCACGTGTCACGTGGAATTAAACGCTGGCATCTGAACACCTATATCAGTTAGATGACGGCGAGGCGCCGTGTGTCGACAGGTCATGGGGGCCTGTCTCGGCCACTGCTTCGCGAAAGTCACAGACTCCCTGCCGTACAGGTTAGAATATTGGAGATATCTGACGAAACGTCGGTTACTGGAGCTTTACTGATAGCGAAGGCTGTCGGTTGTCAGATTTTGCTGAGAAAAAAAATGCTACTTTCGTTCGTGAGTGCGTGATTGAGCTAACGACTTACCGATGACTCACAATTGGGGAGTGTGTGTGGCATCCACGATTATAGTGGTGTGTGCGTGTGTGTGTGTGCACGTCATACTTAAGTTCGTAGTGTTGGTATACAACTGAACAACTACACGTTGTGATTGAATGAAGTCGCATAAGATGTATCGATTTATGCTCTAGTAGCTCGGAGCCTTCTTTATCCTTGATTTGCCAAAGGTGTTGCAATTTTTAACAGCATGTTTTTGCTGACATCTTTGTTTATTTACTGCACAGGTTCCACCAAAGACACACCAGGTTGTCTTTCCAAGGAGAAGAACAAGTTGAGGTATGTACTTGTTAATATTTCTTAGACGAAATAATTTACAATTTTAGCTGATATTAATGATTCCTATGTTATTTTTGTCTTGTGCTTAGTTTATGGACACCGAAAGAGATGAAGACCAAACTAAAGGATCGAAGAGGTAAACTCGCTTAGTTTTATCATTTTTATTTAAGTGAAATTTACAATATTAATATTATATTTACTTACCATGCTTACTGTGGATATATAGTTTATTGTCATTCCTCTCTTTAAAAAAATTTAAGGTAAATATGTATATATATTATTGCATGTATTATCGCATCATATCTCATATTTTTCTATATTCTATACTCCACATGTCGTTATCATCAAACTTCACACGATATGTTTGAATCGCAGAAAAAGCATAGTGTCCCAGTAACTTTGGAACTGCTGGAAGATGGAGCATGGTCGCGGGGCGGTAACAAGTACGCCAGATTGAGTTCTAGAAACGATGTTTCTACAAGGTACATCGCGCGATCTTAAAACAATACATATACATCTGAAATTATTGTGTGCGTTCCGTAAAAAAAGAAAAAAAGAAAATAAGAAAATAAGAGATCATACAAATTAATTAGTTCCGGGCTGGATACATCGCTTCACGTTCTCGATGCAAGAACGTTGATGAGACAACAGACACACGTTTCCTCCACTCCGGGATCGTCGTTGGATCTTGAGTGGGAACACGAAGGTAATCCAGCATCGTTTGATCTTCTGAAGTCTCTCGATGAATTAATGTATACCGTATATATCCGTAGGAATGCCTCTGCCGATCGTGGAGGACGAAAAAGGCGACACCGAGGGCTCTTCGTCGCGAACGTCAGTCAACAACAGCCAGCCCTCCAGCCTGACAGCGTCTCCCTGGTCTCGTGTTTCGAGCCCGAACAGTTTGGAATGGGACCCGGTTGAACCGGACATGGTATGTGTCGACATGGATACCGAGCAGCTTCTGACCGAGATAGAACGTTTGACGGACAGGGCTCTGAAAGAGACCGGCGAATGGAGCAGTGCTAACGCTAGCTGATAAACGACCCGGCTGTAATTGTAATTAATGGAATTGTTTGTATTTTTGTATCATATAAAGACAAGACTCGCACCGTGGAGTGATGTGCTCTGTGCTTTTGAGAGGAACGAAGGTACACCGTGTCGTCTCGATATATCACGCGATTCTTGAAACAATATGACACACGACACGTTTTAGATCGTTTCGAACAAAATGTATGTATGCTGTACAACTTGGAATACCGAGTACGGAGATCGAACGAATACCTATGTTCCAACGTACTTTGTAATAATCTTTAATACGAAACGAATTCCTATGCCAAACGCTCTGTACGAATTTGCGAGGTTTTTGGACGGCAAATTTGCGGGAAATCTGTATATTTAAATGAAAGATATATATATATTTCCGGTTTCCTGAAATTTCAATGTTCGGCTCGCTTGAATAGTACCGCATTACGCGTTTAAGTGAACTTTACTGTGGACTCGGGCAACGTCGGTGTTTTTAATTTCGCTTACACGCAGCTTCCGTTCGACAATAACTCGTTTTGGAAAGAGTGAGATTATGTGCGGTCGTGGTATATACTTTGTAAACGCCCAGATAGCGCAATGTTCAAAATCGGGCGTCTCTCAGACGTCTTTAAGATGTTTCTAAGACGTCTAAAAGACGTCTTATGTCCCGATTTTGGACACCGTGCTGTCCGGACGTTTATAGTAATTCTGCCAGCGCATTCTGTCCCTCTTGTATTATTTTCTTACGTAATTTCGGAGATATTTTAAGAGTGACATTAGATCAGTCTGAAGGATATAAACCGGGTTTTGAAGTGCACAAAGTGAGAGATCAAATAATTAAAAAAAAAAAGACGAAAAATAGCGAATGTACAAACTGTTTTAAATAGCAGGGGATTACTTTACCGTAGTGGAGTGCACACGAAATTATCTGAAACAGTTACGATATAAATGATAAGCGTAGGATGCCTTAAACGTAGATAATAATAACAATTACGAGATTTTCTATAGCTGCGAATACGTTACCTACATTTTATATAACGCATTTTAATAGATTTCCGTTACATCGCTGTACACGACCTAAACGTGACTTATACACACACACATACACACACATACGTTCGAGAAATATGTTTCATGTTGTTTTATATTCGAATGTTAGAAATGTAAGCACCTCCCGAAGAGATGTGTCATATCAATTTAAACAAGATTGTAGATCGATGAATTGTAAACGCGCGAATGAATGTGGAATTGAAGAACGTCATTATATTTGGACTGTAATAAGTGTTAAGAGGTAATATGTTTATATATGCTTTAATAAATAGTTACTTTATTATATTTCTATGTATATACAAAAATTGAATTTATAGTCTAAGTCCTGCCCTAAAATTTTCTCCCTCTATCGACTATATTATACATCGAGTTTTGTTACAGTGGCTATACACGTGTGTAAAGTGTACGAAAGTTACAAATTTAGTCGTATGTGTTCGTTAGGAAACGGTGTCAGTTTTAATATATCGCACAATGTAACTTACCGAGGGGAAATAATAAAGCAATTATTTAGTAGGCAGCTCAGAGAGTATCTTTAAAAATAATTATTATAAAAATGACTAAACTTTATATTATGAACTTTTGCTTAACTATATGCGTTGTTAAAATTTCCATTTCATCATTTAATATCGAGTAAAATAATGTGCATAATTTTTCTGCTTACATTTCAATCTCGGCACTAATACATCATTAAGAAAAGCAAGCGACTAGTTTAACATACACATAGTAAATTATACATATATATACGCATGTATATATATATATATATATATATATATTACACACACACAATATATATACGTATAATACATATAATATATGCGTACATAATTATAAATATAGTAAATTAGCATATTGACTAAACGAAAGAGTTTATTCACTTAATTTCCCGTTAGTAGTTAAACAAAGTTCAAGGATCTACGAGACAGATACCGGTGCAGTTTATAGGAACAAGGTGGATATATACTACCATATATTTATACTTATTTACTTTCGTCGCGTATTACATTTTCATGAAAACCAGATAGTCTGCAATATATTACATATACGTGCATCGTTTTTGAAATACGACTGAATTCGATTGTTTTTTTCCGTAAGCGTAAAAACGATATCCACAAAACATGTATAAAATTTACCTCGTTTTAAACTCCACGTTCGCGTATGGTATGTAATATATTAGTATGTATATACATGCGCAGTACATATATATATATATATATATATATATATATACACATACATACGAATAAATTAAACAAGGAACAGTCGTCGTAGTATCAGAATGATTATCGCCGATACTAAACTTGCAATGAGAATACTCCAAAATAAATCATTCGAAGAAGACATCGTTTCTAAGGGAACTATGATAATATCAGACTGCTGGCGATCTACGTTCTCCGACGAGTTTGTTTCCACATTACGATGTCGTATCTCGCTCTCGGACACACTCTCCGCATTACTGTCCGTAAATAATGTGTCCGATGTGGGTGAGTCATCCGCCTATAAATCATTTCGTTCTATATATTTGTCGTATTTTTCCGCATCCATTAAAATTCAATTGCGCACAGATTTTTTCGAGAAAAAGTAATTATATATGATTATATATGATTACATACGATTATATATGATTATATATGATTATATATAATTATATAAAATCATATATGAATTTTGCGCATATATGTGCTTACACGTATGATCATATATGTCAATACGAAAAACATGTCAATACGAGAAACATGAACACTGCGTCGTTTAATTAAATGTCGATATCATGTGATATCAGAAGTTCAAGTAAGCCAGAAGCATTTACTTCGATTGTATTGGCATATAATTGATAAGCAACGGTACTTTTTCGCTGCGGGCATATATGATTATACATGGGCAAATTTCATGTATGATTTTTTTCTTTCCCCAGGTTCTCAATCGTGCGTGGCAACTGAATGTATACGTCTACTCAAAAACAATCCAGCAAACATGATGACGCAATAATAACATCTGTGACGTCGTTAATACGTTTTCAGCACGTCACTTGATACTCTTAATACACGTCATCGTGTTCGTTGGGAAGTCCCAGTGGACGCTTATGAGAAACAGGTATGAATCTCTCACCTTCAGAGCGATGGTTTTCAACATGGTCTGTTCTTCCTCGGTGATGGGCTTCTTGACGGAGTTCGTGGACAACAAGTTCACAACTTTGCACCCGCACGTCTCACACTGCCAGTTCAGTGATCTACGCAAGGGGATCCGTTAGAAAAATACACACACACGCAGCATCCTCTCTTCTAATATTACTCGCGAATGACATTGTTACTTTTTAGCAAGCTTTTGTCGTTCTTCGGTGCTGTAGTCTAACGCTCCTATAGTGCCGCTTCCTGGCGTGGGCATGAAGGCGATCAAAGCTAACAACGCCGTTCTGATGCTCCAGGATGGCTGCCACGTCTCGGGATGATGGCCGGAAATGCTGAGGCAGATTTTCTTGTTGGTCTCGAAACGTCCATTCGGCTGCATTAAAAAGTAACAAGCAAGTCCATCATCATCGTCATCGTCGCCATGATATCGTCGAGTGTGTGTGCTTATCAGAAATCACGTATGCCTTTTATCTTTGACCCAGGCTTACCGTCAACAGGATGATATTCGGCGGCTTCATAGGATACTCCGGCGGTAGCAGGATTCTCCCGTGATAAACGCCGCCCTCGAAGTCCGTGGACGGCGGTCCTTGTACCGTGAAGTGCCATTCGAACAAGTTATCGTCCAGGGGATACGCGCAGTATTCTTCGGTGGCGTCGCACAGTTCCTGCGCCTCTCTCATCAATCGCTTCACCGCTGTATCGTGCGAAGATAACAATGAACGTTTGCTTAAAATCGAAATCTTTGCTGGCCGGCGCGCGATAAGCACGCGGATGAGAAATCTCTCATGTGTGTCAAGGCAGAGACGCATCAGACGTACCTTGCGAAACATATGTATGCTAATAGATGCATGTAACATCTTATCTAATCACGCTAATGGTATACAGAGGAGAGGAAGGATGGCAAGATATACTAGTGGCTGTTGCAAAACCGACTGACGTGATTGTAACAAATGGTAACAACAAGCAACTGCTACAAGTAGCTACTCGGATGAAGAACGTTGAAGATTTTTTTCTCTCCCAGCAAGAGACCCAAGTCGACACACAACTCTAGTTACATCATCCACATTATCCTTTTCACTACCGGACACCGGGAGTAAGGACGAATGATGACACACAACTGGAACTCGTGTCGACTCGTGTCTCTCGCCACGGGAGCGAGCAAAACGAGAGTGAACGAGACGCCGACGGGTCAAAACAAAGGCACCGGCGCGGATTCGCGCGTAGCCTCGACGACGCTTACCCGGGCTTTTGGCGTTGTACTTCCCCTCGAATGACATCTTTCACTGCTACTGATTCTCTCTCTCTCTCGCCCTCTCGCTCCCCGTCTATACGTCTGACAGCTCGTCGTCCACTCGTCTGTTCGTCCGGCCGAGACGCTGATTAAAAGTCGTGGAAATGGAAACACCGGACCAAACGCTGGCTAACCGACGTCCTTTCTCTCTCTCTTTCTTTCTTTTTCCTTCTCTCTCTCTCCCCTCTCTCTCTCTTTCTCACTCGCTCTCTCGTTCCACAGAGGCAGCAGCTCGCATAACGCGCTCACATATTTGTTATGAACAGGCCTCTCCTCTGGTTGTTCCCCGGCGTTCTTCCCGACGTTGTCGTCTCTCGCGTGCACCTGACGTGGCTCGATCGCGGAACCGCCGCGTCGCAAAATATGACGTGAACCTCGCCGCCACTCCGCCGCACGTTCACTCGCGCCGTCTCTATTTATCGCCGCCCTTCCCGCACTGAAGTTTGCCTCACAACTACGTCACGCGACAGCGCGTTACCGGCAGCGGCGATAGATCGAAAATCAAATCGAATCTCGGATTCAGCAGCAAATCAATGCGTTCTCGTCGCTCGCCGTCCGCGCATCTTCGTCCTTTCGTTCCGGATCTCATTGTCATAAATATTACAGGTTTGTTCCCTGTTCCTATGCATTGCCCGCACTAGTTCAGGAAATGTGCCCTGAAACGTTTCCTGTCCTGGTAGATCTAGCGTCAGCGATGCTCCTTTTTATTCCAGTGCATCGGGACCGGAGTCAGTGCAAGGATGGTCGAAACAGAACTTTCCAGTAAGTCCGTTAAAAAATTTTTCATATATAACTATGTATGAAATATGTCCATAAATTATATATATATATATATATATATGATTATATATCAAAATATACATGTTTATATGTAAGTATATATATATATATATAATTAATTATATAGGGTGGGCTAAAATTTTTGGATACCATCGAACATCTCTGTGTCGTGTACGATGCAATTTTGAAGAAAATGATTCAGATAAAAGTTGTAGGATTTAAAACGATTTGTTTACCGATTTTAGCAGTTTGACTTTAATAACGCAGTGAATAGACTTTCGGTCGGCCGGCCTCGGGCCTTCGTCACTTCGCGTTTGTTTATGCGAAATTCAGAATTGTCTCGAGCCGTTTCGTTTCCCGAATTGATCACCGGTTTTTCGTTCGTACGCGCTTTTGCCGTTTCTGCCGTGTCGCTTGCACACATTCTCCGATACTTTCGTCGATGTGAATGTCTTTTTGGATTATTTTGAATCTTCTCACAAGCGGCTGCCCCACTTCTAACACGTCGCTACCCAAGTAGGACAGAAAATCACGATGACGTCAAAATGACTTACTTTTCTATTATGATTCGATAAGATTTTCTCGTTATTTTGATATAATTTTTATCGTAATTTTCTGTTTTACCTGCGTACTTCGCGAGAGATTCTTCGACTCGAACTAGAATTGTGCCGAGAAGAGCACTATGTTTTCCCAAAAATTCGGGATTCAAGTATAATGCACTTTCTCGGACGTTAATGGCAGCGAGGTACAAAGTCGATGCATCGTGAAAAGCAGCACGACTCATAACAAGTCTCGTCACGCGTAAGTAATGTGCGGGCGCATCGCATCTTGAGAAATTCGCGTGTATAATCAACAAGTTTACGCCCGGTAAACACCAATTGACAATAACATCACATCAATATTATAATTTTTCACTCAACGAGTGAATGCGATAAGTAAGTGCGATGTAACGTGCGTTGCATACAAGGTGTCCCAGAATAAAAGCGCATGCGGAACATCGGAGGATTCTTGGCATCAGAAGAGTAACTTTTCGTTTACCGAAATCCCGAAGTTCGAAGGATAACTTCTGAACGAGAACTATTCAAAGTTGTCGAATGAACATACTAAGTTGAGCGTGAGGTAGAAACGGTGCGCGACCTTGCAGAATCACGAAATGTCATATGTCTTATAGGCTGTTTTTCTTTTACCTTGCTTTTTATTTTATTACACAGATGAGTATAATATTTAGATTTATCACTGTTTTGAATAAAACTTATTTATATAAATAATTTAGACACATAATATTCCACTAGCCTTTTTCGAAATCACAAATACTTTTAAAATGTTGGAACAATACTTTGTATAAGAAATGATTTGTTAAGAATATGACTTTATTTTATTTTTAGTCGCTCTTCCATTAGTATTGATAAAGAATTCTCCCGTATCAAACAAGTTTTAAAATAGCGATAAATCCAGATAGTACTTATTATACCATACGAGAGAATTTCTTACCGATGTTACACTGAAAGAACGACTGCAAATAATAAAATAATATACTTAATCGACCTACAAATAATTTTTTATACGAGGTGTAATTCCAGTCATTCAAGCGGGAAATTATAACACTGTGATTTTGTAACGTTAGTATTAGTTTATGTTTACTGGTCGTTTGTTGCGCAAGCAACCTTTACCTATTTTCGTACTTTACTACATGGAAATACAGCTGATACATATGCAAAGGTATCACTGTTATCAATTTCGTTGATGTGGGCTCTTAAATAATCTTATCGTGCTAGCCACGATATTCTATTTCTACTTGAAGACATCTTTTCAATTCAGACGTAAATAATAGCTCTCTTAGACAAAAGGAATTTTTTTTGTCGAGCCGTTGATTTTAAGTTTTTTCTTTAATCTTAAATTACACCGAGTGACGAATATTCAGCGATGCTTGCAACACATTTACCGGCCGAAGGAAGTGTTCTGGTTGAAACATTAACATGCGCTACGAGATCGTGGAAATTATAGACTTTATTTTTAGAATATTCTGAATATCATAAAACAACGTAAACATTCACAACGGATGGGAATAGGGTGTTATTTATAATAGTAATAATAATGTCATTATGCTTTTACCGTAATAATTAATCGTTACGAATATATCGTCATGACGTATTTATAATTATGTATAAGTAAGATTTCCTTTTATTTATTTTAATAATTACTCATCGTATCTCTTCACACGACAATGATAATTATAATAGTGAAGACGATATCAATAATGATAAGAACTGTGTAACGTTAACCATAATAATGATAATAATAATAGTACCGATGCGTCTATATACGTGTGTGTGGTTTGTTTGTTTGTCGAGTATGTATGTATATGTGTGTGTGTGTGTGTGTGTGTGTATGTGTTCGTTTGTCGTGTTTTTATATATGTATATATAAACAAATATAATATATATGCTTATTCTCTTAAGAAGGGGGATAGAGTCACAATGGCGCTAAACAATGTATGCAATGCAGCTCGCTTTGTCGTTTTCCTCGATCATAGAGAGTCTCACTTCTATAAAGTCGTATTTAGCCAAAGATCTTAGGAGTAAGTCTCGTAATAGTAAGTAGATAATAGTAAACGCACGTATATATATGTACAGTTCTTTTCTCGCGCGCGCGCGTGTGTGATGTTTATATGTGTATATGTGTGTGTATAATGTGTATGTTTTTCCTTTTATTTATCGTTGAGTGCGATTCGTCGAATTCCGCGAATATATTAGAGAGAGAGTTCGATCGCGAGTATTTCGCGCACAATGACTTGACTCGCCCGATGAATGCGCCTCGAGTGTCGTCCTCGAGTTTTTTCCTCCTCCGCATTTTACACCACAAAATAGAACGAGAACCGAGCCATCGGGAACTATGACACGACGGAGACCGAGCGAGAAATGTCCTTCCTTGCAGGCAAAGCACACGTTTCTTCGGAAGAAAAAACGGGATCATCGAATTTCACGGGTTTCCACGAGCGAGATATCCAATCATCGCCTCGTGATCAAATCTAAGGAAAATATCGCGATGTGCTCGATGCGGATGGGCACACTTCACAGTCAATCTCGCGAACGTCGCTCGAGGTTCCTCGATACGCTGTTTACGTACTTACTGATGAGATATCTTTGTCCGCGTTACAAGAGAGAGACGGTAACGCAGGAAGATATTCGGGAATTCATTACCGAGTAAAAAGACTGAGGTTCGCCGAATTCTAATTAAGCTGATCGACAATTCACTCGGCCAACGGGTTACCAACGCGAAGATTAAAACGCAAAATTTGTTATTCAGAAATGGGTAAGAAATTCTCTTGTTCTCTCTTTATAATTTGTATTTAAATTTGCTATTAGTCAAGTTTTAATTGTTCTATTTTGTCAACACATACAGAAATATTAATCTTTTGAAACCTTTTATGAGAAATATTTATTCTTTTCTTTGGTTACACTGGCCAACAAATTTTGTATCATAAATTGTACCTTTTTCGAATTTTAACTATCTTCTATTTGTGCTTATGTATTGAAATAGAAAATGGCAATGAAAAAATTATTTATCTATGGTTCAAGAAATATAGGCTTTATTTTCATTTTTATAAATTAATAGTAGATATAAAAACAAAACAACAGAACATATTTTTACGGTAACTTCTTATTTTATATTTCATATTGTGAGAAAAACTAAAATTCATTTGAAATGTTATATTATTAGAGGAGCTTTTTAACGGTTCTGAAATGAAGAATGTTATACACAACGAAAGAATAGAAATAGTCTCTATCTTCCTACAGAAAATTAACGCACCTGTCTCATTCATGAATTCTCTTCAGGACTGCCATACACACCATCTTAAAGTAAATAATTAATTGTAAACAAAATTATTTTGAAGATACTTCCTTTTTTCCATACTAAAGCCTGTAATATCACATTTTGAGTGTTGTCTACTATATGATGGAAATTAGAATTTTGACTTTGAATTGTTATATTTGTGATTAACACCACAAAATTAAGTAAAATGAGCGACTCAGATCCAGATTACCATTTTGATGTTGACCAGTGTTATTATTGCATAACATATTAGACAGCTAGAAATTGTCGTTGGCAATTCTGCCGGTTAATCATCGATTAGTTCAATCAGTTTAATACAGGTCACACTAACTGTCTAATGCCCGTGTTTCTATCATCATGTGTTTCAATCTAATCGATGATTGGCTCGACGGGGATTGACCAATCGCACTGGCAAATTAGCTGTACTGATTAATGTGATTAGTTAATCCCGTCAAGTTAATCGTCGGTTAGATTTAAACCATGATGGTAGAAACGCACTGAGAAAAAGATTTCTTCAACTTTAATAAATTTTATCACATCCAAACAAATTTCATCATTGGCATGCTCCGAAGAAATTAATGTTTCGATTAATAAGTTCGATCGATAGACTTTTCAACGAATATGTATCTTAAATTAAAAAAATTTGTTTGAAACGAAAGATAATTTTCTCATAAAGAAATTATTCCATTCATTTTACATATTTATCCTAATCAAGCAATATTTTATTTGGTTAAAAGATATTTCAAACAACAGCGTTCTTTCTGTTAGGTGATAGAGTTTTCTTGAAGGAGACGATGAAATTTTTACTTGGACAAATAATACTTCGTATATGTTGTTTCTGTGAAACAAATTTTAGTGAAATAAATAGAAATACCAAATCTAAAGGAATCTTTTTCTTTGTGCAGATATCAAGGAGAAGCGTTTTCAGATTGCAGTACTTTCTTCGGCAAAGGCACTCCTTCTTCCCGGGGATATATTTCCCAGCGAGAGTCGGGTGATGTTTGCACGTGCAGTTAGCTTCTCAGTTAGCTTATCGTTGTCTATTGTTTTTCGCTTTCTCGTGGTTCTCATTCGCCATCCGTCACATCCATCGGGCAAGGCTCGCGCAAAAGAAACGATAGAGAAGCGAAGAGTCTAAAACTGCGACATCTATTTTCCTTGTCTTCGTCTTCTTTGAAAAAGTAATAGTCGCAGTTGAAGTCGCACTTCGACGCGTTTGTGTCTTTTGTCTGTGTGTGTACGTTTGTTTTTCTCTTGCTCTTTCGCAGCCCGTCACTCTTCGGGCGGCGCATTCCACCGTGTGTATGTGTGACGCGCGCGCGCGCGCGCGCGCAATTCGGGAATTATTTATTTTATGTAAAACGCCAAACACGATGCTGGCAGAGCGTAGAAAATAGATCTAATTAAACGACACACTATATAGGTACAGTTATTAAATAGGGAAATGTGATCACGCCGTGCTTTGAAGACCTTTTGCCTTGTCGAAATAATCGAGGAGCGAAAGTAAAACAACACTCACAAGAGAGAGAGAGAGAGAGAGAGAGAGAGAGAGAGAGAGCTTTTGTTTCTCTCGATCGAACAGGACGCGCGCAACCGAAGCGTCGGCCGGAAAATCAGATGTTTGATCGATTGATAAAGAAGAGATCTCTCGGATTTAACGGCGCCTACGTTAATGCACCCCCGCAAAGGAAAGACCGACCCTTTCTTTTTTGTCGTTTTCTCTCTCTGTCTTCTGTATATATATTTTTTCTTTTTCTTTTCCTCGCGGGAGACACGTTTCTCTCAGTCGTCGCACTCGAGTGAGAGAGAGCGTAAAAGTTTGTTTGTTCTCCTTCGCGAACGAATCATTTTTTGCGAAACGATCGGTGCAAGTGATATGCAGGCGAACGTTACCACACCTTAATAAAACGAGTGGGCTCACACGACGCATCCGTACGGTTGAACGGTCACCGTTGCACCGATGTCGGCCGGCGTGATTGGCCGAATTTTCCGCTAGCTTCTCGCTACGTTACGCTACGCTACGCGTCCAGCGACCGAGCGATCCAGAAGACCGATTCGGCGAGAAAAGAACCCGGGGGAGAAGCCGGGAGGAGTCGACGTAGGGGTGGGGGGGNGAATCGACGGTTACTCGAACACTTTGTGCTTTCTTTACTGCTCCTTCTTCTTCTTTTTCCTTCCGGGAAAACGGAGGGGAGAGACTCGGCGATCTCGATCTCGGTGCAAGTGACCGTCCTCGCCCGTACACACACGCTCTTCACACACGCCTCCTCTTAAAACTCGATATGTACATCATGCTATTGGCGATTAGAGCTAGCCGCTCGCAAGCCGTCAGTAACAAGCAGCCGATGACATTTAACGATAAAAGTTACAAAACAATCGTTATAACAGTACGATACTATACTATATAGATATATATACATACGCACAAACGGGCATGTGTATGTACATACATATACACGTATTCTCTCACTGCCCTTAGCGATAGTACACGATAATAATCAGTCGTAACAGGTACATAAAAAGTGTTTCTCGGTGAACCTCGAGATCGGTCGCGCCCGATGCGACTCCCGCATCGGAGTCTCCGAATTCGTTCTTTCCTTCATTCTTTCCTCCTTTCTCTTTTCCGTGTATGTTCCACACTTTTCTCTTTTGTTTTTTTTTCCTTTCTCTACGCGTTTCATTTTCTTGGGATATCGCTGCTGATGAGAGAGAAATATGGCGAGGGGGGAGGGGGAAACGATTCCGGAAAGTACACGCGCGAAAGAAGCTCGTGAACCGGGATACGACGGCGTTCGACTAATTCTCTGATGTCTCGCGTCATATACACATAAAAAAAAGAAAACAATTGTGTCGCGAAGAAAAGCAATTACTCGGGTTATTTTCCTTCTCTCAAGTAATGAATGGTTATTTTGAGCGAACACAATCTTTTCTCGATAAAATAGTATTAAAATATATTCATCACAAATATTAGAAAAGCTCATTATCGTTTCACCTCGAAAGGAGAATATGCTCTCTCTCTCTCTCTCTCTCTCTCTCTCTCTCTCTCTCTCTCTCTTCAAGAATATCATAAGTTTCATCGAAGAAAAGTTAAATTCAGTTAGTTGGAGTAAATAAGTCGATGTTTTAGTTTTAGTATTTTAATTTAATATTCTCGATTGACATATTAAACTTACTAGGACTGAAAATATATTCTGAATAAATTTTACGTACTTATGACGAACTTATGATATACAGGGTGTCTGGTATATTTCATACAACCATTCGTTTGCAGATAGAAGGAGTTAAACTAAACAGAAAAGTCCTCTACCAACTTTCGTAAACAACCACGCAAAATTTCGAGTTATTAACGATTGAAAATAGTCATATATAGAGGTTTCTTTAATTGATAACTGAGAAATTTGCGTGTTATTTGCAAAGTGATACAGGACTTTTCTGTTCAGTTGAACCCCTTCTGCCTGCACACGAAACATACAGGACACCCTGTGTATATAAACGAGACACGTGAAACAAATGAACTGAGTGGTTGCTTTTCCTCGCAGTACAGATAGTACTTTCCTCTGCGTACACACGGGATGGCCCGAAATTCCCTCGTTACGATGCACCGCGTATACACCGCAGGTCTACGGCGGATGATGACACGCGTATCCGGCACGACGCTGTTCCCAAATGAGCGAAAACGGTATCCGTGTGTCGCGTTGATGAAGCGATCGCATGCCGTCAAGTCGTTCTACGCAGTGAACAAATGATCGAAGCGTAAACATGCGGTGTCTTACGCCGCTAATTCAAGACGATAATAACAAAATCCATCCGGCGATCGGACGATCCGCGGCGAGTCGACGGCCAGACGCGAGAACGGAGAAAGCGAGCGCGGGGAAACGAATCTCACTGTCGGGCCGCGGAGAAGAGTTACCGAGGAAGACCTTCTCTTTGGGAAAGGAAAGAGACGAGAGGGCGGACGTGCGATCGATTCTCCCGGGGACGTGTTAAGGAAAATCTTTTCCTCTCGCGAGGAAAGACGCGAGAAAAAAAAACGGGGAAAAGAAAACTGGACACACACGGTGCGTTCCTTTTTCGTTCATTCATTCGTTCGTTCGTTCGAGTGTGAGGGGGGTCGAGAAGCGAGGTCAAAGCGCGCGAGCACTGGCGGATAGTAATACGCGTCAAACGATTCCGAACGATTCTAAACACAAGGCACAAGTCAAGACTGTTTATCCGAAGACGGATGGTCCGTCGTGAGAGCGTCGTGTCATGTCGTGCGTGCATTGGTTCCGGTCTACAACAGGTGCTTCAAGCCTTAAAAAATTCACCAATCACAGTCGATTATTCTCTTCACATTCAACTGTGATTGGTAAATTTCTCAAAGCTTAGAACTCAAATTCTCATTGTAGACCCCGCTTTAGGGAAGAAGTCTCGCGTTTCAGCGCGGCTCTCAGTCGCGTTCGTTTTCTCCGCGAAGCTCGATCGCGAAGCGGATCGCTTCTGTGCGAAAACAAGGATAGACATATACGGACGATGTCGCGTCCTGCGAATTATATTCACGCATCTATCATATCGCATATCACTTTCGTCGTGGCGCGCAGGTGGGAGGGAGCGGGGACGATCGCGACGATTGTGAGCACCGGCGACGATACATACGCGCGTGCGCGCATGTGTACTAAAAATAATAATAATAATGATAATAATAATAATTCGAGCCGCGTGTCGTATCGTTTTGAGAATCGTATTTCCGCTTTTTGCGCGCGCTCTCGCGCGACTAAAATGGATAGTAGAAGTGATAACAGTGATAGTAGAGTGGTTAGCGGATGATGATGATGATCGCAGCGGCGACAGTGATGATAATGTGGCGATAAGATCATAATCAAATGAGTAATAATAATCATCGTAATCATAGTGTATGATTGTAGTAATATTAGATAACCAACGCTATAATGTATATGTATACATGTGTGTACACAGGCTGTCCCGGAACTGTCGGGACTTTTTTCTTCTCTCGTCCGGGGATCCTTTTCGAACGAGCGATGAAATCGGTTTTTCTTTAACAAAAATATCAGATCGAGACGTCGATTTACCGTTTTTCACGAGATTGAACACACAGACACGACATTGAGGATCCAAGGATAATATATATATATAGAGAATATATATATATATATATATAGAGAGAGAGAGAGAGAGAGAGAGAGAGAGATTGGATTTCGCGTTTTCGATTTTGTTGCGAAACATTGAGAATCGGAACGTGGAGAATGACGATGATGATACCCGCGTGTACGGATTTTCATTAAGGAAAAATCGTCGAGAGATAGAAGAGATAGCGAGGAGGATCCGTAGACGAGAGGGAACGGCGACAGTTCCGGCACGTCCCGTACGTATTGTAGTGTTTTTTCTTTATATATATATATATA